TTTCTTATTCATTGAACAAAGGTGCAAGCTACTCACCCGCTCTTCCCCAAAATCAAAGTCAGTCCAGGTTGCATAACTTTCCAATGGAATTTTCCTGATTCCTCTCTTTCTCAACTTTGGACTGCGAGTCAATTTCATGACTGTTAAATGGGGGCTGAACTCTCTAGAATCTGTTGATGGGATTCCCTCCTTTGCAAACGTATCCCTTACAACATTTGCCACTGTATTCAGCCTTACAATTCCCTCTTCTCCACAAAGTTTCACAAAGAGAACTTGATGACGGAAGTGATTAAGGCCTGCAAAATTCAGTGTCAAGGCACTATTTAGCATAACAGGTTCCAGAGAAGTTCTGCATTGATGCAAGACTTCTGTTGCCTTTTGAATTTTCTCCTCATCCTCCAAATGTAGAACTAAGAGGGTTAAGTGCAAAGTTGCAAGCGGAATAAGAGCAGGCATCAGTTTTTCATCATGAGAAACAATTGAATCCTGAACGATCTTAACACCAGAGTGTATGACAGGATTTGAGACACGTATGGCTATAAAATAGTTTGGTATTATCCTTTTAGGCTGTTTCTTCAGTTTAGAAAGACTGTCTTTCATGTCCACTGCTGCGATATCAACGTCATCATCATCAGATAAACCACTGAGCTGCTTCTTTCTTGTTCTCTTATTCCTCTTCCACAGCTTAGCTTTATGTTTGCCTTTGGCCACCCATCTTACAGCATCTCTGCCTTGCATGTCCTCATCAAACAGGTTTTTCAATCCAAGAGAGTCATTATCACTCTCACTGTCATCCTCTGGAACATAAACCCTTGACCTTTTTCTGGTGTCTGTTACACCTATTAAGGTGTCCTCACACTGCAAGCTCTCATCAAAAAGAGTGTCTAATCCAAGTGAGTCATCATCATCATCACCATTCAAAATGTGACTCTCCTCATTGCTGACATTCTTAAAGCTACATGGATTTCCATCTTCAGGGTCTTTATCATGCAACTCTCTCATCATTGAATCACCAGCTTCATTCAGAGAGTTTAGACTTGGTGATTTCACAGAGAACCGATCAGATTGTGTCGTTAGTGCACAAGCTCCCTCCCCTTGTTGATCATAGTTCATCTCATTCTTTAAGTTTAGTGGTGCCTCTCCTTGGAAGAAACTGCTGTTAGGATAATTTATTTGATTCGCTGCTGGAGAAAGTTCTTCATGGCAACATGTTAAATCCATGGTCACGTGTGCCAGGTCCCCATCGCCAAGATTATTCATAGTATTTGACTTGTCATGTTCAGTATTTATGAGTTCGTTACACACTGAATGCTCCATTGTTTTGTCCATATTTAAATGCCTAGTATTTTTATTGGGTGGCCAGTAAAAATAGACCGAGTTTCTCCCAACTCCCAGCTTTGAATAACAAAGTGAATGTTGAGAGAAGTAGCCATTCCCAAGGCTATCGACCACAACAGTATGGGGACTAAGTGCTCCGCCCAAGGGGGGAGAGCCCTGGGGACTAAGTGCTCCGCCCAAGGGGGGAGAGCCCTGGGGACTAAGTGCTCCGCCCAAGGGGGGAGAGCCCTGGGGACTAAGTGCTCCGCCCAAAACTTAGATACCAGGAGAAAATTAATTGTTTGGTACATGGTTATGCTGTGCAAAAATTTAATACAGGAAAACAGAAATGACTACAAAGATTTGCAAAAACATCTTTCCCTTGAAAAAAACAGTCACAAGAAATTATAAGAATCCTTCTCATCCTGTTGAAAAGGAACCTGTGATTATAATAATCTAAACTGGTTATCATCTCATATTCTGTGCTAATAGGGCAACAGCAGCCAGATTTCGATTTGGCAACAAAATCAGTTGAGAGATTTTGCCCTAAAGGACCTCTCTAACGTTTTGCCAACTAAAAAAAGGAAAATAGATCTTTTTCTCCCCATCCAGTCCATGCAATGTTCCAGATGCTGCTGTTCAAGCTACCTGTAGAAAACAACAATCATTGGCAGCTTTGAATGGAGGGGAGTGGGAGGTGATTGGATTTTTTTGTTCTCTGAAGTTACCCCATCTGAGGACGGTGTCTCCACAATTTTGTTGTCCATTGAAGGTCTTAAACAGGTTGGATGGTATCATTACAGCCGTGTTAAATGTATGATTTTCTTCATTTATTTTGTGATTGAAACATATCAGCGCTAAATTACACAAAGGTTGGCTTTCTACTTTTACCTTTATTATTTGGCAGGATAACAGAGGAGAGCTATGCTTTGACTTTAATTCTCATATTATTCTTTTCACAAGTCTCTGAATTAAAACAATCAGTCTACTGTTCCTCCGACTATTCTTTGTGTTTCCTATGTTCTCACTTTCCAGTGCTTTGATGCTTCCATCAGGTTACTCCTACATTTGCTGCCACCAGAGACAATTTACTGCTACCTTCATTATCTCCGTGTTTGGAGCTGTCAGTTGATGCTGATAACCAAGCTAGTTCGTTACCGCTTCATCTCGTAGCCTACTTTCCAGTGCTTTGTGCTTTGATCATATCACGTGCCTACATCAGCTGTTGGTATGAGTTGTTCACTGATGCCTAAACATTATCACCTTCCACCAGTGTGATGTCACCAGCTGTTGCTACATTTGCAGGCTGTGGAGTTAATTCTTCACTTACTTTATGCTCTTCCTCAAACTTAACTGTAGCCACACACTTGTAAAAGCCATCCTCCTCTTTCTTATTCATTGAACAAAGGTGCAAGCTACTCACCCGCTCTTCCCCAAAATCAAAGTCAGTCCAGGTTGCATAACTTTCCAATGGAATTTTCCTGATTCCTCTCTTTCTCAACTTTGGACTGCGAGTCAATTTCATGACTGTTAAATGGGGGCTGAACTCTCTAGAATCTGTTGATGGGATTCCCTCCTTTGCAAACGTATCCCTTACAACATTTGCCACTGTATTCAGCCTTACAATTCCCTCTTCTCCACAAAGTTTCACAAAGAGAACTTGATGACGGAAGTGATTAAGGCCTGCAAAATTCAGTGTCAAGGCACTATTTAGCATAACAGGTTCCAGAGAAGTTCTGCATTGATGCAAGACTTCTGTTGCCTTTTGAATTTTCTCCTCATCCTCCAAATGTAGAACTAAGAGGGTTAAGTGCAAAGTTGCAAGCGGAATAAGAGCAGGCATCAGTTTTTCATCATGAGAAACAATTGAATCCTGAACGATCTTAACACCAGAGTGTATGACAGGATTTGAGACACGTATGGCTATAAAATAGTTTGGTATTATCCTTTTAGGCTGTTTCTTCAGTTTAGAAAGACTGTCTTTCATGTCCACTGCTGCGATATCAACGTCATCATCATCAGATAAACCACTGAGCTGCTTCTTTCTTGTTCTCTTATTCCTCTTCCACAGCTTAGCTTTATGTTTGCCTTTGGCCACCCATCTTACAGCATCTCTGCCTTGCATGTCCTCATCAAACAGGTTTTTCAATCCAAGAGAGTCATTATCACTCTCACTGTCATCCTCTGGAACATAAACCCTTGACCTTTTTCTGGTGTCTGTTACACCTATTAAGGTGTCCTCACACTGCAAGCTCTCATCAAAAAGAGTGTCTAATCCAAGTGAGTCATCATCATCATCACCATTCAAAATGTGACTCTCCTCATTGCTGACATTCTTAAAGCTACATGGATTTCCATCTTCAGGGTCTTTATCATGCAACTCTCTCATCATTGAATCACCAGCTTCATTCAGAGAGTTTAGACTTGGTGATTTCACAGAGAACCGATCAGATTGTGTCGTTAGTGCACAAGCTCCCTCCCCTTGTTGATCATAGTTCATCTCATTCTTTAAGTTTAGTGGTGCCTCTCCTTGGAAGAAACTGCTGTTAGGATAATTTATTTGATTCGCTGCTGGAGAAAGTTCTTCATGGCAACATGTTAAATCCATGGTCACGTGTGCCAGGTCCCCATCGCCAAGATTATTCATAGTATTTGACTTGTCATGTTCAGTATTTATGAGTTCGTTACACACTGAATGCTCCATTGTTTTGTCCATATTTAAATGCCTAGTATTTTTATTGGGTGGCCAGTAAAAATAGACCGAGTTTCTCCCAACTCCCAGCTTTGAATAACAAAGTGAATGTTGAGAGAAGTAGCCATTCCCAAGGCTATCGACCACAACAGTACGACTTCTTGTCTCTGACGGTTTGTTTACACTAGAGCAGTAAAATCGCACGGTTGACCTCCGGTGACAACGTGACACAAGTTGAAGCCAGGCTTTTGATGGCCGAAAAGTGTGAAATACCATGTAAACAAATCGTTAGGTTGAATGCGACACACAGCTGTCTTATACTGCAAGTTGTTCACAAAGAATTCTTCAAGAATCATTACTTAATTGCCCAGGATCTTAAGTAGTAGAATCGCAGAACGTCCCGAAAACTCGAGAGTGAAAAGTAACCTTCACTTCCGTTGTAAACAAGGCGAAGCTAAAGCAAAGATTGGAAGGACGGTGACCTTGGAAGGACTGGGAATGTATTTGAGATCACAGTCTTCGGTACAGCGGATTGCCACACGAGGATCAAAAATGGCGGACGGTCAGATGAAGGTCTTCGTGGATAACTCAATAAAAGAGGTTGAAATAACTTAATTTCTTGTCTTTTGAACGTTGTAAATTTAAAAATTCATGAATTAATTAGTTTTTTTTCTACTTTTTTTTTTACAGCGGTTGTACCTTTGCATAAAAAACCCAGAAGATTCAGAGGCCTGCTGTCTCGCCTATCTTTATGGTGAAATAAAACGGGATAAAATTCATGTTATTGGATGTGCAGCTTGCGTAAACTCACAAAGCCCACCAAGAAATGGACATCCAGGAATTCCAGACTGGACAAATGAACAAGATGAATTGTCAAGTGTTATTCCTCAAGGTAATGAACAAAAATGCAGAGATCCCAACCTCTGGAGATCTATTAAAAATGGGGAGACTGTCCATTTTGCACAACCCCCCGTAATGTCAGCGGACCCCCCGCCCACCCCCATAAATCGATCCAGTCCGTCTTAACACCCAAATTATGACATGGGAATGGCTTAGGAAGTTATGTGAAGTCTGACATGAATTGCATACCATCAAAATTTGCTTTCAACATTGTAAATGACAAAATAATCTTTGTCAGTCAAATACGTGCAAAAATGCCCCAGAAGCTGTCCTGTGGATTAAAAGAATTCTGAGAAAAAATGGGATAAACTTCAAACTAAACAAAGAATAGCACATGATTTTATCCATGAGATTTGGGGATCTGTACGAGACAGCAGGACATCAATGTCTTATCTGGGAGACCCCTGGATAATCCAGGAGAGTTGGTATACATGAAAGTGTTTTTTCCTTGCAATTGGCATAGGGAAGTACCTAGGGACGGAGGGTAGACAATTTTTAGAAGTGTCTTTTAGAATTACATATTTTCTTATAATTATGGGGGTCTCTTAAATGAGTGTGACAGAATCTGAAAATGGGCATAAATATCCTGTTGGATCGAACCCTGCCATCCATTGATTGAGACACAGAAGGGGTCCGTGGCAATCATGCCATCAATAGGAGAAGGAGGGAGCGATACTCCCCCTCACGTCCCCTCCCCAACATCCTGTGGATAAGATTTTCAGACACAAGCTTCAAAAATTCTATCTGAAGGAGTAATTTTGTTGGAATCTTTTGATCTTTTCAATATTTAAGTATGGGTAGAAGATATATATACCGGTACTAGTGATTTAGTTACCCCTGCATCCTGCATCCCTGACACATAAAAATCCCCAAAGACGCAAAATACCGGTAATATTCATGGCATGCATCCCGTAGAACACAAAGAATGATGGACCGATTTGAAGATTTGATGGTAGAATATCCTGTTCATGTGATTTCTGTGGCTGTTGTTTGAAGAGTCATATCTATTTTAGTCGTTTTTGTCCTTTAAAAAATTATATAGATTAGAAGGACTATATTTTAATTTCAGTAAACTGTAGTAAAGAGTTTTTGCATCTGTCTCCAGATTACAGTCAAACCAGGTCAAGTGTTCCCGTCATTAACAAACTAATGAATTCATTAATGGAAAATGATTTCGTTTGTTGATTCAATAATCCATTCATAAAGTGAATAATCCAACAGTCAAATTGTACCTCGATTCAATAATCGAATGTTGATTTGGTTTATGAACAAAATCTACCTGTTCTTTATTCTTGTCTGTTGTGTTCAGTCATATTTGCTTCCCTTTTCTTGCCGTTTACGATTGCGTTTTTCATTGCCTTTAATCAAAATAACAGCTAGAATAGACAGACCGCAAACGCAAAGAAACTGACAAAGGCCGAGGATCGAAATCCACCAATCACTGCACATACACTGACCTCAGTTTGACCGTCGTGTTTTCTAAGAGGTCAGGCCTAGGTCTGTTGCACTGATTATTGGCAGCAAACTGGCGTACATGTAACAGTTTGTTTGGGTTTGAACTTCAGAACTCGCCAGCACTCGACTCTCAGAAAAAAAAGAGGAAAAAACAAAATTCTGAGGTCAACTTGTGGAAAGTGTAATTTTTCAAAAAACAGTAATCGAATCAACATTCGATTATGGAATCAAGGCTAAATATGACTATTGGATTGTTCATTTTATGAATGAATTATTGAATCAACAAACGAAATCATTTTTCCGTGAATGAATTCATTAGTTCGTTAGCGACGGGAACGCTTGACCTGGTTTGACTGTAACTGTCTGGCTACATAAGGACCAAGCATTTTCAATTTAGGACTCCTTTTTTTTTAAACTGGGACTCATTGGTTCTGCACCGAGCTGGACTCATGATTTTTCACAAGATGAGTCCCAGGACTCACCATAACTATTTGTAACAAAATCACTGCTAGCTTATTTCTCATAAGAGGAGTGGGATAAAAATGTGTTGGCATTAAAGGNACACTGACCTCAGTTTGACCGTCGTGTTTTCTAAGAGGTCAGGCCTAGGTCTGTTGCACTGATTATTGGCAGCAAACTGGCGTACATGTAACAGTTTGTTTGGGTTTGAACTTCAGAACTCGCCAGCACTCGACTCTCAGAAAAAAAAGAGGAAAAAACAAAATTCTGAGGTCAACTTGTGGAAAGTGTAATTTTTCAAAAAACAGTAATCGAATCAACATTCGATTATGGAATCAAGGCTAAATATGACTATTGGATTGTTCATTTTATGAATGAATTATTGAATCAACAAACGAAATCATTTTTCCGTGAATGAATTCATTAGTTCGTTAGCGACGGGAACGCTTGACCTGGTTTGACTGTAACTGTCTGGCTACATAAGGACCAAGCATTTTCAATTTAGGACTCCTTTTTTTTTAAACTGGGACTCATTGGTTCTGCACCGAGCTGGACTCATGATTTTTCACAAGATGAGTCCCAGGACTCACCATAACTATTTGTAACAAAATCACTGCTAGCTTATTTCTCATAAGAGGAGTGGGATAAAAATGTGTTGGCATTAAAGGTCATTTTATTGATAGGGAAGTGAAGTCAAAAAAGAGAAGGTGTATGAGGTATATTGTAACTTGAAGTATTAAGGTCAGG